AGTATATATATATATATATATATATATATATAGTTAGTATATATATAATAATATATATATATATATATATATATATATATATATATATATATATATTGTGTGTGTGTGTGTGTGTGTGTGTGTGTGTGTGTGTGTGTGTTGTTGTGTATATGTATATGTATATATATATATATATATATATATATTGTATATGCATGTGTATGTGTATATACGGCGAGATACGATTATATTGTCCTATTATTTCCTTACTCCTTTCTATTCTTATATTTCATATTCCTGGCAGCTCACTTCTCACCTGTCTCAACCCCACAGTCGAACTCGGCGATGTGCGTAAGGCGTACATTCTGATCCTTTCCCTCGAGCCGCGCGACACCTTCCACCGGCCACTGTGCAATGCCTTGGAGATCATCATAGCCCAGCTGGCACACACATCGCTAACCTCCAGCACGCTTTCGCAGTTGCTGGTTATTCTGGAGTTTCCTGAGCTCAATGTACCCACGTACCACGAGACGCTTGTGCGACAGTTGTGCTGGGTTGTGTGTGAGTTGCCCACCTCGGCCGCTGGCACCCTCAGGTGAGTGTGCACGTGCTATATACAGTCAGGGCTGTGGGTCAGTTAGTGTGCAGAGTCCGGGCGTGCGTGATGCGGGGATGATCGGGCTTGTAGTTGCATAGCATCCCATGGGTGTTGTTTATCTGTGTGCTACCAGGTATTGATTACATGGCTGGGCTGGGTATGGGCTGGCAATACCTGGGCTTCTGTGGACATTTGTCTGTGTATATCCCCCCCCCCCCCACATACACACACCCTCTCTCAATTGTCTACTATGAGGTGCGGATGACCGTCTCAGTACGTGCTCTCCCACCTCCAGCAGTTTTCAAGGGTTGCGCACAGCACGCTAACATCGCTCCCGTTTAATTGTCCACTACCAGGCGCTGGCTGTCTCGCCTGGTGCCATCCCATTTCACACAGTATGTGGAGGTGTTCGCCCAGTATGTGTCGGTGCACTTCCATGCTGGACAGAGACCGGGCAAGCACGTCGTCGCCGCAGTGCGTTCACTGCAGTTGCTGTTTGAAGCCAACGAGCTCGCCGAGCGGTACGTTGGGGGTGTGTGTAGGTCCACTGTGGCCATATACACTGCCTGTTCACGCGCGAACGCTCGTATTGGTTATATATGTATGCACTTGGCAGGTGTGGGGTTTGGTCATGGGTGGTTAGGCAGGTGTGTCACTGAGCCTGTGTCGATGGTTGTCGCCTGATTGTGAAGTTCCGTACCTCGCTCAGCGCCGTATGGCGGAGAAGCCTTCTCGACTGCTCAATGAGCTCGCCTTGTGGTTGTCCCTAGGTGTATTTGTTCTGTGTCGATAGGTTGTATTGCGCTTGTGCATGCGTATTGGGTTGCATTGGCCTGGCGTGTATATTGTCTGACAGTCTGGGACTTGTATTCGATGGATGGTCTATGCTCGAGCGGAGCACTTTCGCTTGTTGACATAACTTGAAAGAAGTGATATCGAAATACCCGCCACGCTCTATTGGTAGTTTTGACTGTTTGTTTGGGACTACATATATATAT